GTGTGTGTGTGTGTGTGTGTGTGTGTGTGTGTGTGTGTGTGTGTGTGAGAGAGCGCTTGTGAGGATACCCAGGCTAAGTGGCAGGAGGTCAGGTTGACAGGTCAGCGCCTGCCGGGTGTGTGTACACCGCTTGACTTGCTCTGTTTACGCCTGCCATGCCACTGTTTACACACGCTTGGTGTATGTGTGTAAGCTGCTGTGTGTGTGTGAAAGAAAGAGAGCGGGAGAAGCGTTAAGGCTGTTTTTCCCGCTTTCTGTAACCCCTTGTCTTTACTAGTGATGCACACACACACACACACACAGGCCTGTGAGCAGTGAGAAAGGCCAGTGTTGGTTTAGACCTGGGCCAGGATTTAGGTGGATAATCGAACACACACATTCCACACCCGACTGGCCTCAACACAAGTCCCCCCTGCACAACTAAGGGAAGAGTCTTTTCTGTGCGGAGAACAGATTATATGTTCCCTCCAACAGCACCAGCGCTTTGAGAAATGTGCACATTTTTGTGGATATGATGCATGTGTTTTATGGATTATCTGAGACCGTACCCTTCATTTTGGAAATGTTTACAGTCTCCATGTTGCTGCTCTCTCATCGCCACTGTTCTTTGTGTCTTCAGGCCAAATGCATTCAGCTGGGATCAGGTGGTCAGACTGAGCCCTGTGGAGAGACTGGACCACGCCTTCACTGTAGCCAAAGACCAGCTGGCTATTGAGAGGCTACTGGATGCCGAAGGTACGGCCTTATTGAGCAGCTTTGAACACTGAATCACACTGTACACCAACTGTAATTATTTGGACAAGAAGAACTGCAGAAAGTTTTTATGAAAATGTAAAAACAAATTGTTTACAAAAGAAAAGGCACCTACTAACTACCTTTCATAGTAGTCCCAAAGATTAGCTGGATGTGGAATGACTTATATTTTACTGTCCAAAATTCCCACATATTAAAACATGGCCTGTGTTCATGGAGCCTGCCTTCATGTCCTGCCAGCAGTTGGATATGCTCACGGTGGAGCAAATACCTTGGTGTTGTCTTTGGCTGAAGATTTGTTAAGCTGCGTTTGTGCAGAATGTTTTTTACAGTTCACGGAGCACCTGAAGCTCCTCAGTGTGCACGTATACGTGAGCTGTCTATGTTCAGACACTTCTTGTTATGTCATGACCGAGAGGTAGTCACACTTGACCTGTGGCAAAGCCTTGTTTAATTAGCACAACTTGCCTCAACCTGCCTTTTTCCCTCCCCTCTCCCCTTCCGCCCCATCTAATCTTCTGCTGTCACCCTTAACCGTTATCTCACTTCATCGACCATGCTGCTTTTCTCCACATGCAATTTTCACCTCTCTATCCCCCACTCTCCTCCTCCTGCTTCTCACGCTTAATTTCTATCTCTGATCTTTCCGCCTTTACATCCACCTCCCTCCCACCATCTTGCCCGCTCTCTCTCAGACGTGGCAGTGCAGTTACCGGATAAGAAGTCCATCATCATGTACGTAACATCGCTGTTCGCCGTGCTGCCCAAAGACGTGAGCATGGAGGCTATCAGAGAAGTGGAGACCCTTCCACGCAAATACAAAGTGGAGTCTGAGGACTCGGGTCCAGGCCTCAGTGCTCAGGTAAAACGCACAACACAGCATGTTTGTACTTCATGTGATATGATACAGGAGGGTACGATATCAGCGTGCAAAAAGCACCAACAGCTGAGGCTTTTCTGGACAACGATTTTGGGGCAAAGTGGGATCCATACCGACGGGAAAGTCACTGTATCTATTCTCACAACCGTTTAAGCTGCTGAGTCCATGGAGACGTCTGTTTTTCAAGGAATCCAAGGTGCTCTTTTATGTGTAAATTTTCAAAATCCACAGCTGGTAACCAGCAATGTAGACAAAAGCACATAGAGTCCAAACTTCGGGAATTTACAACTGGAATAAAAAAAAAAGCAGTTCAGAACTGGTTTTCGATCCACAAACCTAGGTCAATCAAAAACCTTTGTAAATGCCCCTCTTGCGAACATTGAAGCATTTACGTGTCTTAAAAAAGGTGGTTGCTAACAAGTGGCTAAAAGAGATTACTTAACGTCATCACGCCGAACACCAGTCCACCTTTCACTTAGGGGGGGCTGACGTGAAGTCATGCGACCATGGTATAGTTCGTTTATTATAGCCGTACGTCTTTTTACTTCTGCTGATTGCATTTATGCCTAAAAAAAAAAGAAGTGGTGTTTATTTGTTAAGATTATCATAATCATACACGTGTTTGCCTCAGAGCTTATTTGCAAGAAGTCAATGGGATAGTTTATCAGGGAGCTAGGCTAACCTCACTATCATGTTGAAACAAACAGTCGAACATCTGACTTTATTGGTCCGGAATATTTGGATTTATGTTCTGCAAATGCCAATATGTAGTATAAGATGTACTGCAAATAGTATTGTACTGTACTAGACTGTAACTTGTACCTTTTTGTAAACAGCACAGTGGATGTCCCACCCCAACCTGTTTATGATAATTTTGTGTATGGATACACCCGTCAAGAAATATACACAACAGTGTACTATCTCTTTAATCCCCCTGGTTTGGTTATTTCAATAGTGACACAGTGCTCCCCAGTGGCTGCCTGTCTGAACCCCCCTTGTCTGTGCCCCCTGGTAACAAAAAAAAACCAACAACTGAAAAGCTGAAGGTGCAAAAAAAATTGAACCCATAACTGCTTCAACCTTTACTGCTGTGTTGTGTTTCTGATAACATTCAGTTTGAAGGCCACAGGCGCCGTTATGTGCAAGCATAAAAGGAATATTGTGAAGTGTCTCATTGTGTGTGTTGCCAGATAGAGGGAGTCACCCCCACCCAGAAAAAAAAAGCCATCTCCTTCATTCTCTCCAGCACTGCTCATGAAAAGCACAGCAGGCGTAGGCAAATAGGGAGCAGAGCCATGACTCACCCCTCTGACATTAGCCAACAGACCGAACTGCATGCTGCTGGAAACACAGAGCTGTAAAGGGGGGGTGGAAGGAAATGAGGGAATAAATTGGGGAGAATGGGAGTGTGTGCGCAGAGAGTTGACAGGGAAGGTTATTGGAGCATTAAAGATGCCTGCGTGCTGGTGGGCAGGTGGCTTTACATGCACACACCGACACTGTTCAATGTTTAACATCTGTGAGCATTTCAGGGTGTCTTATTTCTACACCTTGATTCAGTTGGACTTTCCTGCTGTTTGACTAACTTGTGATGAGTAGCTACAGCAGATCAAACTGCAGCCCATGGTTACATCGCTGGTTTGGCTGTTTCAGAGGTTTTTTAGTTAGAAGTCAGAAAATCCCAGAAACCACCTCTTAGGTTTATATTACCCGTGGGCACATACTTCACACGTCCTGGAACGAGTGCTGGAAAAGTCTCTTTTTAAATAGTGTCCTGATTTGTCCAACAAGGGGTTTACTTTCCTGGCAGAGTTCCTCTCTCCATAGGAAGTGATGCGTGATGCGTAATGCTGCTGGTAGTGTGAGAGTGGAGGGGAAAAAAATAAAGGCTCTTTGTTTCTGATAACTGTGTTTTGTTCTGGTAATTGTGTTTTTGAAGTTCATGCTACTGGTTCGTGCTATTTTTGTGGAGTTCTTAATCTTCATGTGTTTTCAATATTGACGGCTAGTGATCTAACAAAAATTTTACGTAAGCATAATTGCATGCTCCAGAACCACAACTGCAAACGTGATGAATGCAGCGATTGAGTTGAGCAAATCATCTGGTGATAATAAAGTGTTCTGTTGAGCCAGACCACAGCTATTTTACAGCCATTCAAGTCAATAAATCGAGCAAGGCGGCAGTTTTCTCTCTCTCTGTCTCTCTCGCTCTCTCTCTCTCTCTGTCTCTGTCTCTCTCCCCCTCCCCCTCATCTTTCCGTCTAACGTTGTTACTGATGTCTCTGCCAGCCTCCATCGGTCTAACATAAGGACTTACAGTATTTTTATGACTTTCACCAAAATATCTGAAAGGTCATCAAATATTTTCAGCAGGTGACCTTTTTCTGAGTTCGCTGCACAGACATTACTTTGTGTACTTTCCGCCTGGAAAACAAAGGTCCATTTGACTCGTTACTGGACCAGTCTCTCCACAGCCATTAGCATTTCTGTCATCTTTGACTTGGCTCGGCTCCGGCTGCAAGGATTTTATCTCCTGTTTATTTCAGCTGCAGACCGATTTGTTGAGCTCTGTCGAACTTTTTTCCAACTTTCCTTCAGAAAATGGAAACCTGGAATAATTTGTTAATTTAGTGAGATTGTGATAAATGAACTGCCTCTTTTTTTATGGTTGTAGATTTAGAAATGTATTCAGGGAAGTTGTTATTGAAGGACACTGCACTGACACATGACACAACAAAGCTTCTTTCCACTTACATCTAAGTTTTGTTTCATTTCAAACATGCATTCCCTCTTGTTCTTAAAGCCATTTCTCCTGCACCGTTCATATCTGACTGTACACTCAACGTCACCCAGGACAAACTTGCTGCTATTTCTAGAATGAGCATTGCCCTGCCCAGTGTTGAAAGGGCTCCTCTAAGCATCCTATAATAGGCCTGCAGTTGTTTTGGTTTTTTCTTAACTTAGAAGGGCAGGTTGCTCTGCGTGCTCCAGAGCAACACTGGCCCCTCCTAGATGTCTGGCTCTATTTTAAAACTTACCAACTAATGTGCTCAGATGAAAAGTAATTACTTTTACTATTATACCTTTCCTATTATCACAGTAATGATAATCCCAGATGTCTAAAATATGGTCAACCGGTGCCCTCATTCCCGCCTCATGTCTTGCAGAATGTGCAGATGGAGGAAGCAGGCAGCAGCCCCCGGCCTGAGACCCCCAGCACCCTGACAGAGACAGAGGGGGAGATGGAGGGCAGCCTGCTGGAAGTGGACCTGGACAGCTACCAGACCACGCTGGAGGAGGTACTGACCTGGCTGCTGTTGGCCGAGGATGCCCTGCATACTCAGGAGGAGGTGTCAGACGATGTGGAAGAAGTCAAGGAGCAGTTTCACACGCACGAGGTAGGAGGAGACCCGCAGGCTGGCTGGCTTAGGGCTTGCAGAGATGTAAACATGCTTGCACATGTAGACAGGACTCAGATACATTGACATAACTAAATAAATACATAAATAACACTGTTGTTTGCACCTCTAACACTGTCAAAAAGTGACAAAGTGATACATTATGCGGTGCTTCTCAAAGGTTAATATATGAAAAGTCCATAACTGTCTAAATGGACTTATATTTCAGTTTAGAATTAAACATTTTATTGTTTTTAAGACAAATGATGACATATTTGTCTTATCTTATCTTAAGCACCAGTTTTTTTTTTTTGTCTAAGAACTGTCATTCTCCTTTTCTGAGCCTGAATATAGTGTCCCAGAGATAAAGCCCTCCCACAACCAGCAGTACATGTTCTGTACATGTTGGGAATGCCAGGAATTCTGCTGTGAACAGTGGCGCACAGCACCCCATGGTGCCCTGGCACAGACCTCGCTTGCTTGCCTGAGAAGGCGTAGCTGCAGGGTTTGTGTCTGTGCATGTGTGTAAAGGGGCTTTGGCTGGATTCCCTTTGGCTGAAATGTGAATATTTGTGAAGTCTGATGTCTGGAATCCAGGTCAAAGCTGAAAGCCGGTAGTGAGACTGAGCAACAAGACCCAAAGCCTCTTTAACAGCCAGGCTTTTCAGGAGGCCTAAAACAAATCAATGCAGTCTGTTTCGGCCTTGTTGTTCACATACGTACTCCCAACTTCTCCAGCAAAGCCTGATCAAAAACAATGTGCTCAGAGGTGCAGTCAAAAATGCTTACTCATCTAGAGACCTCACGGAAAAGCGACAATAACTCAATTCATTGGGCTTCATATTGCTCACAACAGGGACCAGCAAAAAGCAGCTCCTCTAAGGAGTAACTTAACTCCTTCAAAGTTGCTCTTGTTTTCCTTCTTGAAGCATTTCTCATCCCTCTTTTGTTTTGTAATTGGCCTCAGTTGGCTGCTTGACAGACTCTGCTCTTCAGTTTGTGCTCGCAGGCTTGTCTGACTGTTGCTACAGCAACACTCGTTAATGCGAGGGTGCAGAGGTGATACCCGGTGCTTCTGTGGGGCATTATTAAGTGTTCTACCTAGTGAAGCTCGAGGTAAGGGGTTGGCAGAGACACGTATCCAGGTATGTGGGTGCTAAGTGTCAGCAGGCTAACTCCGATTATATAAGCAATGTTAGGTCTCCATGTTAGACTGAATCTGCATAATTCAAGGGTATGAAGTAAAACATGATTTTACCATAACTCTTTACTTCTCCTCATCTAAAAGGCCTTCATGATGGAGTTGACAGCGCACCAGAGCAGTGTGGGTAATGTGCTCCAAGCGGGTAACCAACTGATTGCCCAGGGCAATCTGACAGACGAGGAAGAAGAGGAAATCCGGGAGCAGATGTGCCTCCTCAACTCCCGCTGGGAGAGCCTCCGAGTGGCCAGCATGGACCGCCAGGCCAGGTTGATACACACACATGTACACATACGTATGTCCTATAGAGGTATTGCAATACATTTTGCGGTTGTTGATTGCAAATATCACATGATTTGTTTTCTTTATTTATTTATAAGGTTGAGCCGAATGCTTGTAAAAAAAAACACAAAACATTATTATGTTTGCATTACCCCAAAAATCTGAAATAGCCCATGAAGTAAAGAAGAGTAATCACATTATTCATTATGCATAAACATGAGTTATTCTTGAGCTATTCTCAGACAAATAGTTTTGTTTGTTGTGTGTAGAGGTTTGTGTGTCGCTGCTGTCCACCCCACGAAAATGGAAAATCCAGGAAGTCCAATTTTTGTCCTTATCTCTCATTAGACAATAATAGCAAAGTAAAGTACATAATGAGGTAATTATTGTCGTCGTGGTCGCCCCATATTTGTTGAATATTCTCGATTTATTTTTCACCCAAACATTCAAAGCTCCAAAATGGTATCCAGACAGCCTGAGAAACCAGTTAGCTGTCATTGTATTTTGTAAAGTTACATCTCAAAATTCTGGAAATGTGTGTGTAGTGTGCAGTCATATCGCATCATGAGCCACACATTGCCCAGCAGAGGTCATTCTGTGTTACTGTTGACCTCAGATGTTCAGAGTTTTGCTCGTGAAGAATGTACAAGGCTGCAAACTGAGTGAAGGTGACAATTGATAAGCCTTGAGCCCTCCAAGGCCTAACAAGTCTAACGCTTAATCTATGTTATCAAGGTTGATGACGCTGTAGACACACACACACACACACACACACACACACACAAAACACATTGGTTGATAAATCGTATTCATGATGAGCATTTGTTGACCCCGTTATAAAGTGTATATGTGCTTTTGCATGCCTCACTGTCCGTGGAGTCCGTATACAGCATTGTCCCTTATTGTAGTGTTTGTGAGGTAGTTCAATCGGTCGGTTTCACCTGAAAGATTATTAAACAGATAACTTTCATGTCCTTTCTTCCTCACTGTCTGTGCTGACTCTGTCCCTCCCCAGGCTCCATGAAGTCCTGATGGATCTTCAGCAGCAGCAGTTACAGCAGCTTTCTGATTGGCTGTCGCGAACAGAGGAGCGAATCAAAAAGATAGAGACTGAACCCGCAGCTAAAGACCTGGAGCTCTACAAAGAACAGATAGAACAGCACAAAGTAAATATGGCTTCCCATTCAAATGTTTCCTGTCAAAGCCAAAATGTATTCAATGAAGAACGGGCAATTGATTTAACATGGACAATTAGAACAGAAATCCTGAACTTGCATGAGTCATTCACTGTGTGCCACTATAAAGCTCACTGGCTTCTCTGCCAGCTCTGTTAATGGGTAATATGCCACCATGCTGAATTCACTATTTGCGTTTCTGTTCAGGAGCTTCAGAACGACCTGGAGGCGGAGCAGGTGAAGGTCAACTCTCTAACGCACATGGTGGTGGTAGTAGATGAGAACAGTGGGGAGAGTGCCACCGCTGCCCTGGAGGAGCAACTACAAGTGAGTCATCAGACAGCTATATATATATATATATATATATAAAAATAATATCCTCCTTTTTGTTTTTAGAACTTCATCTACAAAAGCTGGCTGAGTGACCACACATTTTCTATAGATTGTCAGGCTGTATTAAGCCGTTTGCTCTGACAATGCAAGACATTTGAGGACATCACCTTAGACTATGAGAAACTGAATGGACATTTTTCACTATTTTGTTAACCAAACAATGAATTGATTAATCTAGAAAATAATCAACAAATGAATGTATTCAACTTGTTCCTCTCCTTTACATTGTGCTTCTCTGAACGTCCATGTTCGTATTAATGTTTCTCTTTATCCTGCTTTCAAGTCTTTGGGTGAGCGCTGGGCAGCTGTGTGTCGCTGGACAGAGGAGAGGTGGCACAAGCTGCAGGAGGTCTTCATGGTGTGGCAGCAGCTTCTATCAGACCAGGTTGGACATGCAGCACGCTCTCCCTACTGTGTACACAAACATGCACACTGTCTTCTTTTCCCTGATCGCTGAATTCAGAACTCCAAATGTGTTAAATGTTAACGAGGCTGCAGGACACCAGTGCTCTCTTTTTTTGAAGTTAATACTATTTTCTCGCCTCCTCTGTAGAGTTTGTTTCTAGCGTGGTTGGCAGAAAAAGAGGAGGCCTTGAGTGAAGTACAGACCAGCAACTTTAAGGACCCGAGTGAAATGAATACCAATGTGCGCCGATTAGCAGTAAGTAGTCTGCCAAGTCTTGCCATGCTGCTGCTGCTGCTGCAGATACTTCAACAAACTAACCACCTCTAGTTAGTGAACTTTAGCAGTAAGGTCTCTATGTTTAGCGTAGCCATTGATTTTGTTTGTGATTCAATTCTGTAGATTTTAAAGGAAGACATGGAAAATAAGAGGAGGACTCTTGACCAGCTCTCTGATGCAGGACAGGATGTGATATCGCTACTGCAGAGCCCTGAGGCGGGAGCCAGGATTGAGACAAACACAGAGGAGCTGGCACATAGATGGGACAACCTAGTGCAGAAGCTGGAGGACTGCTCCTTCCAGGTGTGTGTGTGTGTGTGTGTGTGTGTGCGTGTGCGTGTGCGTGTGTGTGTGTGTGTGTGTGTGTGTGTTTTCATCCTGAGCTAATAGAGATATTATGTATTTCTGTAACTGGAGCTACTTACTAACTCAACCTACTTTGTATAAAGAGACTTTGGCTCCGCCTGGACAGTGAGAATGTTTTGATTTGGGCTTTCCTGTGGTCTTGAGATTAAAACAAAAAGGGGAAGTAAGATGGGTGGAAGTTCATTGATGTTCATTGAAGACGATGGAAAAAGATAACATTATAAATCTTCAATTTTTCAGTCTGTTTAAGTAAAGTAATGAATAATAAATGACCAAAACCACTGTTATGGGTGTACAATTTTAACTAAGTCGGAACAACATTCAAGAGTGCAAAATGTTGTTTATTTCTGATAAAATCACTGCTGTACATTGTTATTGAGTGTATAGAATAAGTTTAAAGTTAAATTGCACCGTGAATGAATTTGGTCACAGCCTGTTTGGTTCTGACTTGATGAGTGTGGTTGATTTCTGTCTCATTCTCACTGTTGCTCTACCTCCCTGCTAAGGTAATGGAAGCCGTGACGGATGCTGGGATGACTCAGGTGGAAGAGCAGGTCGTCGTGGATGCAGTTGCCGTAGCTGCTGTTGCTGCTTCTATCGCTGACCAGGAGTTGGCCCCACCTGCTCCCCCGAAGAAACGACTGGTGGAGACCGATGCAGAAGTCAGACAATTGTAAGAACTGGGACAGTTCTGGGACGTGTACTGTACACACTAGGCCTCCTTTGTCAGAATAGTGTAAGAATTAAAGACACATTGTGTTCTGCAGGTTTGAAAATAAGCTTTCTGGTGTCCTGACCTGGATTAAAACATGGAAGACGTCCACTCAGGCGCTGGCCTCCACGCACCCCGACACTACGCCTGACACACCAGACCTGCAGGAGACACTGAAGGTAAACCTGCAGTTGATACGGCTTAAGAACAAACAATTCCAACTTAAAGTCTGTGCACGTGTTTCTAAAATCGCACTGTAAATATGTGTTGACAAATCGCTGCAGGGTTTAGAGTTGGACTTCAATGCAAAGGAAGCCACAGTCAGTCAAGTGATCCAGGAGGGACGGGTCTTGATGGACCAGCTGGAGAGAGGTATGATTCCTTTGCTCACTGACCACACAAACCAATCCAAGTTTTGTCACGTTCCAAGACAGCTGCTCGTATTTATTGTTGCTCAGAGGCTCACGACTAGTGGCTCTAACAGAGATCTCATAAGACTTAACTACTTTTCCACAGCTGGTTGGTATTTTTCTGGGTATTTACAAGCCTACGTTTTTAAAATCTGTCAGCCTGGTGGGTTGCGGACTTCATATAACTGCTCAATGAAATGAAGAGGCACTCGGGTGTTTACACTGTTCTGGAGGCAGTGAGGGGTAGTGGAGTATGTTTGTTAAACACAGAACTTTCCACAAAACAGAACTTATTTTCTGACCTTTTTACTCTTGCTAGGGTCTCTTACTCACACCAAAAACTCAGGCTGTGACAGACTAAATGATGTGAAAATCCACTTAAAGTCGACTTAATTAGTTGTTCAGTACATTTGAAGTGAGCCTTTTTGTCTGTTGACTTCTTTCTTTCCCCGCAGAAGGAGAGTGTGTGGACTCAGTGAGGGCGGACATAGACCTGACCCAAACTGAGTGGGATGTGTGTGCGAGGGAGCTGCAGGCAGCCCGCGATCGAGTTCACACTCAAAGCCGTGTCAGGGCGGTGTCTGCAGAGCTGGCAGACCTGGACCGAGCCCTCGAGGAGCAGGATCGGTGGCTGGACTCAACTTCGGCTGGAGAAAAGTGTGACGAGGCTGAGCTCAGAAGCCTGAGCGGAGGATGTCAGGTAAGAGACATTGTCTCCGTCCACATTCGCCCTGATCTCTTTAGTGTGAGTTTAATCTTTAATTTCACCTCCAGCCCTTTCATTAGTCCTCTTACATTCAGCTCATGCTGGCATCTCATAAACGCTTCAGTTTTCACAGCAGAGATGAGACTCTTTAACAGACGGAGTGCTTCAAATGCTTGCAAAGTCAGTAAAAGGTGGACAGATTCAGACAGATAAAACCCTTCATCACACTGTCCTGAAGTGTGGAGTTGAGAATATATAATTTGAGACTAATTCACTTTGAGCAGGAAGGGAAAAAGCACGACTTCATCCTGTAACTTGTGAATTTATCTCCAGAATAACTTATTGTGTCTGTTGCAGGTTTTCCTCTCCTTTTTTATACAGAGAAAAGATTATTTCTTTAAGACGACACTGATTATTCTTAATGGCACTAAATAAATCAGATACAAGGAAATGACTTGCTGAAACATAAACTTTCCATCTTCATTATTAAAGAAGAAGTCAAGAGAATATACTTATCTTGAGCCAAGTTTATAACATTTCCCTTCTGAATCATCGTTAAACAATTCTCTTCTTACAAACGAATGAACTTGCGTCTTCCTCTTATGTTCTTCAGTCCCGACTTGTCCAGGTCACTGCCTCGAGTCCCCGACTGGAGCAGCTTTCTGCAGAGGTGGGGTCCCTAGGAGCTATGCCCTCTCTGAAAGACACCATGGTGGTGGTATCGGCACATCACGCCTCCACATTGCAGCGGCTTCAGAGCAGAGAGCAAGAGGTCAACAAAGGTACTCCTGCTAAACTGTATCAAAATGATATTTTAAAATGGGTGCAGAGGAAACCTGTTCCAAAACTCTGAGGAGGTTTATCGGTATTAACAGTATGTGCTTTTCACTGGGTTTTGACAGCCTTGAGGCATCCTCCTATTTCAGAGAGCTGCAGTACAGGAGATTTAAGCCTTCCTTAAAACAAAGACCCATTTCTCTTTCCTTGCTTTTGGCTCAAAGCTTTCAGGTTTATAGGGAGACAGAAAGAGTGATGGCTAAGATCAGCAGAGCTCAGTCCCACAGGGGTTGTGTAAATTTGACATCGGCTTTTATATGAATCTGTGGACAGCCACAAGTAATGATGTCCTTATATGGCCTCCAAAAGCTCACTAGAAGCACGTGTGTATACGTGAGCGATCGAGTGTAAGATCATCCCTCCGTGCCAGTCCATAGAGACTTGAATGATCCCCTCCACTCCAGACGACAGGTGTGTGTGTGTGTGTGTGTGTGTGTGTGTGTGTGTGTGTGTGTGTGTGTGTGTGTGTGTGTGTGTGTGTGTGTGTGTGTGTGTGTGTGTGTGTGTCACTCTGCCTTTTAGGCTTTTATGATTTTGGATTTGGATGAAAGCCAAGGAAAACCATTTTGTCTCTGCTTAAGGGCCGTTTGCCTCCCACCAGTGCCTCTTTCTATTTCTCTCCCAGTTCCATCTCTGCTCTTTGCGTATATAAACATAGCCATTTTATGAAAGCATTAAATCACCCGGTTATTACAACGCTGACAGACAAGGAGATGAGGAGAGAGACGGTAAGAAGAGCAGGAACCGAAAACAATACAACCATTCAATATGAATGAGGTAACTTTTGTGTATTTTTAAAATGCATCCGTCATACTTAGTTTATTTGTATTTAATCTGTGAACTGTTGTTATTATACATTAAAAGTGACATTTCATGTGTTACAGTTGATCTGGCCTGACTCTGTTAAAACTAGCAGGTTCCTGTACTGCAGCACATAAGACGGAATCACAATTACGTCACAAAATAAAGACAGAAACAAGACAACAACAAAACATGCAAGTCTGCACCGGGATAAGTGCAGGCAATTTAGAACTTGTGATGCGTTCCTGTCTTGTATTGTTTCTTAGAAGTACAGCAGTAAGTGCAGTAAGTGAGCTGTTGGTTTGGATCTGAAAGTAAATGTGAAAGTGCAGTGTGGAGTCCACAGGGGAAGGTTGCCAAAGATCTTATAAGCGCTATCGTATAGTCTTGCTGTTGGTTCAATGGTTTCTTTTTGGTTAGCAACCAAATTGGTCGACAGAAGGGTGTTGTTGGAAGAATGATTGAATTTGAATGTGTCCGAGATAGTATGGATAAAATATTTAGTTTGATTTGATTTATTTCGGTCCGACATAGATAAAGATATCTTTGTGGGATGGAAATACACACATTCTGTCTCGTGGCATTGATAGTTAGATGATTAAACTTATGCATAAGTTGGTTAGAAGAGCGCAGCTAAACGTATTTTGAGACTGTCAAACATCTGGGATCCTCCTGTAAAAACACACACACACACACACACACACACACACACACACACACACACACACACACACACACACACAGAAGGGGAATCCCATACCTGCTCACTGCCCCCTTGTGGTTTTATTCCTGATGCAAAAGTTCTGATACCTTAACTTACTATATAATTCCTCCTTGTTCCAGCTTTGACCAGTCTTGAGGCCAACCAGGTGTTATCGAGCCAGGTGGACGGACTAAAGGCCAGGCTGGCCACCCTGAGAGAAGGAATAGTAGACATCCCGTCAGCTGAGGAAGCAGTGGAGAGTGCACAGGTGAGAAGTGCATGATCTTTATAAATATAGTTATGATTCCAAAAACCATGAGGGAAAAACAAACTTTGCACCAAACTACATTGAAATCTGTAAAATAGAAATATTCTGATGACCAGGAACCCAAATCATGAACTCCTAGGTGAGGTTACCATTAAAAGTATGATCACAAAGTCTCATTACTATTGTTTGACAGAATTAATATTATTAATGTTTTTTAAGGTTTGAGGTTGTCTTGAAGGTTTAACTCTAATAAATCCAATATTCTTATTACTCAAATATTTGTATTCAATAGTCAGTCTATACATTTCCACAATAAACAAATACATTTCACAGTTCACTTCAGCTATTTTTATTATTGCCAATTATATTTATTATTTATAATCCACGTTGCTTTTTCATGCTCATCTTGTAACATTTTTTTGTGTTTTTTTGAAAATAAATCTAATAATATTTCAATAAATAACAACATTAAGTGAAAACTACCGACACAACTGCATACTCGTGTGTTGGAATATATTTTTAAACTATTGTCGTTGTGGTTTATCTGAAGACTGAAGCTGATATCACATGTGTCCTCTGACATCTAAACTAAAATGATTTCATTGTTGTGTCTGCCCATGTGCCTCCACGTGAATCAGAGTGTTAGCCAATGTCAGTTTTCTTTTTTTTTCAAGCACACAATAGGCCCCCTTTATCAGCCAGTCACTTCCCTCTGCACTGTATCAAACCTCTGTGTGGGAGGAAAAGAGTGTGTGTGGGTGTGTGTGTGTGTGTGTGTTTTGGTATGCAGCTTTGTGATACGCGTGTGTTTCTCTCCTCCTCCATCCTTTGGTGGAATGTGGCTCACTCCGAGAGCTCTTGTTATCGTGTTAGATAGGGCATGGTGCCGGGGAAAGGGGCGGGGATGTGACACATTCTGGGCAGCTTGCCCATTCATGCTGCATGGAGCTCCTAACAGCTCAGTGAGGGGGGGCCGCTCAATCACTCAGTCAGCCTGACAGGCGACACACAATCTCATGACGGCATCTCATCTCCCATTAGCAATTAGCCTAATGATAGAAGGTGATAGTCATCTGATTGGCCCAGTGTTGTTCTGTCATGTTTAAATGGATTCATCTTTCACTACAAGTTGTAATGCCGCATTCATGTCAAATTGAAATAAATGTAATTACCAGTTTCCAACTGAAGTAGCAGTGGGAAAGTGGGAAAGTCAATTGTTTTTGAAAGTTTGATTTGCAGCCTAATAACTCTGAAGTGCCTGAAAACCAAACAAACACGAATGCCTCATTTCTGCTAAAGACGTTCAAGATAATTTATCCCAAATGTGGTGGTCATAGCGTTATATTGTCAATGCTCAGTAGTTTTAACCCTCACACCACAACTCTGCAGTCAAACAACTGTCATGAGTCGTCCAGTGAATTCCACGCACATGAAGTCATGGACATAGGAATCTTTCTCATCTCAACCAGTTCGTAGTACATGAAAGCTGCATACGGCTTCAAGACGTTTTTGCTGTGGAACTTTGCGGAGGATAACTGTGGTTGTACTATGTACTTCTGAGGGGGTTCATAATATAACATCACTGAGGGGCAAAATATCAAATTACTTGGAGAAACTTGGGATCAGTATAGAGTAATCACAAGTTGAAAAAATAAAAGGATTCCAAAGGTTTGTCAAAGGACGTGACCGCCACAAATGTTTACATAATCGTGAAGCCTCAGTTAATGAAAGAGATTAGGGACTTCTTATCTTCTTCTCGCCAAGAGATGACACACTGTTAGACATTGTTGTTGTTGTTAATGTTGCTGCATAACAAATTGTTTATAATATAATTGTTCATAAAGAGTTTCCATTACACACAGCTTGGACATGTCGTTTAAAGCCTGATCTCTTGTTCACCGCAGGGCCTGTGTCTGGAGATTGAGCAAACACAGAAAGCTTCTGATTCTACAGAACTACAAAGATGGAGTCAGCTCTCCTCCAGGGCCCATGAGGAGCTGGGCACACTGCAGTGCGTCCTGGGTAGCATGAGGGACAATCAGGTGAAGTAGCTGTGGTTTGTGATACAGAAAGCCTTCGAGTGTTTTTGGTCTTTACTTTAATGTTTTCGATCCATTTGTTTGATGCTGTCGTCAGGTGCGTTTGGTGGAAGTTGAACATTGGTTGGATGCGGTTCAGGAACTGTTGTCTCGTGATTCCACGGGGTTGGGCGGCAAAGAGAGTCTACAGGAAGAGCTTAACCAGTGCAAGGTTAGGGGACAATGCAAAATATGAAAACACTGATTGTTATTTTTTCCCCCAATGCTTTTTGACATTCTTATGGTAAAGACATCATGACGTAACCACTTAAAGGTTACTTTTACAGATGTTTATGTGAAGACTGCAGTCAAAGTATTATTCTTTATCATGCTTTCTTTTTTTTTCTGCTAACAAGGAGTATGTGAATGAGATGGAGTCAGTGGAAGGTTCATTGAAGCAGATGGGAGAGAATGTGAGCGCTATACAGACCGTTGCAGTCCCGGGACTAGCCAATTGGGGGCAGGATAAGTTGGACGAGTGCCAGAGCAAATGGGACACGCTCGGCAAACAGGTGAGGAATAACTTCTCTCTTGTTTGCATAGTTTGCTGTTATATCCCGCAGTTCCTATTCCGTGTATTTGCATGCCTGTATTCATTCACATAACTACGGTGAGATTTTTAGTGTCTTGTTTCGCTGACGAAGGTAATGTGTCACTCCAGCTGCTGAAACATCAGCAGCGTGTGGCAGAGAATCGGGAGAGGCAGGTGAATCTGAGGAAGGACTTGGCGGAGATGCAGGAATGGATGACCCAGGTCGATGAGGAGTTTCTCATGAGGGACTTTGAATACAAGAGTCCAGAGGAGCTGGAAACATCGCTGGAGGAGATGAAGGTGGGAGTGCAGGCTCGGTTATAACATAGTAGGAACGTTTGGAGACCTTTGGGCAAATATGTTGAATCTCTGCTTTTGACAGTGCTTTATTTGAGTGTGTCGGTCTAAGTGTCTTCTTCTGTTACTGTCTCCGTTGTCCTCTGACCTCTCGCACCAGAGGGCTAAAGAGGATGTGCTGCAGAAGGAGGTGAAGGTGAAGATCCTGAAGGACAGCATCAACATGCTGGTGTCCAGAACATCGCCCCCTGGTGGAGGCGGTGCAGAGGAGCTGACCTCTGAGCTGGAGGGGGTTCTCGTTAACTACCAAAAGCTCTGTGACCGCTTTAAGAGCAAGTGTCACACTCTGGAGGTAAAGTGTGTGGGTGTGATGTCCTTCTGATGGCGACCTATGCTTTTCTTGTTGTAAAAAATGTTCTTGCGCATCAGCCTCTCAGTTTATCTGTTTAGACGGAAAAACAAGAAGCGCCTGGTCATTGTGGATTCCAGTTGGCTTTTAGTGTGTTTTTCACAGCCATAAATACTCCTCTAGCACATAATCACGTGAAAATAAGAATAAAATCTTAATTTTATGCATGAATGGTCCAATTTGGCCAGCAACTTGCAACAGTATTGGAATGACATGTTTGTTTACGCGATGTGTCATTTCTCTGGCTCCTTTTTGTTAATTTTCATGCAAAGAACAGGAGCAGCTGGAAGGGCACTGGTTCTGGTATTACAAGCTAATCTGTGAGTGTAAAGTCATAGTTTAAGGCTGTTTTTGATTATCATCCCCCAGACTGCAAGGAAAAGGTCAAAGACGTCACTGAGCTGTGCTTATGTTCATGTATACTCTTTGCCTGATTTCCCATTAGTCACTATTCTCTCTTTGTTCCTAGACTTTTGCTGCTTAATTGAGTAAACTAAGTATTTTTCATATTGTTCTTCGAGATTGTAAGCGAGGGCATGCTTAATACAGCTGTCACTTTGTAGTCACAGTTTTCTTCTGGCCGTGCACAGCGTCATTGAAATGTTTCTGACTGAGTGCTTATGTGTAGGAGGTTTGGTCCTGCTGGATGGAGTTGCTTCAGTACCTGGATATGGAGCAGACCTGGCTCAACACGCTGGGGGAGAAGGTCCAAGCTACTGAGAACTTACCGGAGAGCACTGAGGCCGTGAATGAAGCTCTGGAGGTACAAATGCAAACACGCATGCTGTAATCGCGTTTAATTCATCTGTCATCTTATGGTTTGCCGTTAGTCTTCTTATCTTTCTCTCCATTTAATTCTTTCACTCTTTAAAGAGGAAGATTTAGCTTTTTATGGAATATTTATATTTTTCTGACTTACCCACAGTCTAACTTGTCATGAATTTGTTTCTATGTGTGCAGTTTGAATTTGTTTGAATGTGAGACTAGCTTAGTTCTGGTTAATTTCGAATCAGTACCACCAAAAGGACTTTGACTCAGTGCTATTGTTGGTCTCACTTAACGTCAACATTTTTTCTTTACATTCTCCAATAGTTATTTCGTATCACCCCAAACATTTGTCCCATCCCATGTGTGATTACGAGACACTGCTTTATGTCACATTTCAGAAATACATAAAGTTAGCTAAGATGAAATCTCCACGCCAAACAACATTCCATTTAATATTCTAACTCTGTTAATAACCTCATTGACTTTGTCTCCCAAATTTCTTCTGCTCTGTCTTGCTTCGTTGCTATATCTGTAGACTTGCCTGCGGCATGACTGTCAAACTCACTTTAATCACAGTGCTGCTTCTGTAACATCGCATAGTGATGAAGGAAATTGAAGACCCTTGAAGACAATGTTTCCCCCTCTCCTCTGCGTCCTCATGTGTTTTGGCTGTTTTTTTCCCTCTCTCTTGCTCTCTCTCTCTCTTTCTCCATTCTTCTAAACCTCTCTTTCTCATCCCTCACCCCTCCCAGTTCCCAAATCAGACTCACCCCTCTGGAGGGGGGCTTTCGCTCTCTCTCTCTCTCTGTTCATTACCTCCGGGAAGGAAAAGCACATTTAATGACCCCACGTAAACAATGACTGTGGAAGCCAAACATGTGTCGTCACTCGACAAGCTTCTCTCTCTCACTTGTCTCTCATTTCTTGTTCAGTTATTATCATTTTTCTCTCTTTTTGCCTCCATCTGACACACCCAACGCTGCAATTTCTGCATCTGCACTCCATCTATTTGCTCAGCTAATTGGTAGTAAATCCGTCTTCTCTTGTTTTCTTGCTTCTGTGTTAAATTTTTGGAACTGTGAAGCAGTTCAACTTTCTTGACCTTCGTCGCAGCTTTATCAAAGGACTACTTTATTGGACTACTTTATTTGATCACTTCCTCACGCTCACTTCCATTGCTTCCCTCTTTGCTTGATTTTTATGATTATTTGCTCATAACTTTTACCCCCTTCTCCATCTCGTCATTCACCACCAGTGTTTGGAGAGTGCGCTTCGCCACCCCGGGGACAACCGGACGCAAATCAGAGAGCTGGGTCAGACGCTGATAGACGGGGGCATACTGGACGAACTCATTAGTGAGAAACTAGAGGCCTTCAATTCCCGTAACGAGCAACTCAACCACCAGGTCAGGACCTTGGCTTTGTGTGTAAACAAATGTGGATTTTACTATAATATGATATACGTGTGCGTTTGTTGCTGTAGAAAGAAGGCATCCATTATGTGTTGGATTTCGTTTTCAGTTTCAGACATATGCATTTTATTTTACTGTAGGAATTTGTATTGAAATATATCCTTTGTAAATATGCAACTGTGTCATTTTCACCAAACATCCATGGGTTGTTCGAAGGAAAGTTATTGTACATTGAGATTTATTTTGATATGATACCAAACACATTTATGTTTTATCATATTATAGTAAAATCAATAACATATTTATATTTTTACCATATTTTACATTGTATCAGCACAAACTGTATTGCACTCCATCTATATAATATACCAGCTTATATTCAGCCTTTTCCATCTACCTTTTTAAGACATGAATTTCCCGTAGTTAATTGAAATTGTGCAATATTGACGTCCTTGACCGTGACATATTCAAACACATGGCTTAATGTACGTGTCTCCTTCCAGGCGGTCAACAGGCAGATCAGCCTTGAGCAGCAGCTGCAGACTCTGAAGGAGAACGAACAGGCGCTCCAAACACTGCAGGAGTCTCTGAGCCAGCTGGACCACACACTCACGTCCTACCTCACCGACCGTATCGACGCCATCCAGCTCACACAGGAGGCACAGGTACCGTACGCGTGTGTGTGAGACACACTCACTCACAGTTACCAGACAAGACGGGAAACTCAAGGAAGTATCCAAACTTGATGAATCTTATCTCATGTGGTGTCATCTCACTTGTCTGAAGGTCCTCCTTTCACCTAGAGGCTCATGGAATAGTAGTAAAATATTAATAAATAGTGTTAATATAATATACACACAAAACACATCAGGTTGTCCACAGATGCTTTAGGAAAACTAAGAAATATATTTCATTCTTTGATCCCCAACAGCATCAGTAAGAGGGCTGTCTGTATGAGTGCACGTACACTCATGGTGTTTGTGTTTGTTGTCCTTCAGACCATCGGGGCAGAGATCGCAGCCCACGAGGTGACAGTGGAGGAGATGAGGAAGAGGAACGTGGCCAACTTGCCTCCCACCACCACTGATGGCAAAGCTGCTCGAGGTGGGACCATGCTGGACCAGCTACAGGTAACACTGACTTCTACTGGAGAATATCAGGAACTGCAGGATGTCGTGTCAGACTGGTGTACTATGAATGCCTTCATGTTTAAAGCTGTGGAAGAATCTTGGCAGCACGGTAAGAGAAGTGTGTGTGTGTGTGTGTTACCTGTGTTGTGACACAGATGTATACTTTCTATTCTCTACCGTAACCCACTGCAGAGGAAACTGAGAGAGATCTCCACAAAGTACCAGCTGTTCCAGAAGCCAGCTAACTTTGAGCAGCGCATGTTGGACTGTAAGAGAGTTCTGGACGGTGCCCAGGCTGAGCTTCACATTCTGGATGTCAGGGACGTGGACCCGGAACAACTCCAGTCCCACCTCGGTGGTTGCATGGTGAGAGCTACAACTTTCTCTCTCTCTCTCTCTCTCTTATAAGCAAGCACAAATGGTTTATTCTTTGCAGATTGTGTGGACTGTCTGTGTGCCCATTAAAGAATACATAAACAAAACTTATCTGCCAGCCTAGCTACCTACTTATGCAGATACCATAAGTCTATCTCACCCTCACGCATCGGCTCATTTTCCTTTTTTTGAATTATAGAAACTATACAAGTTGTTGAGTGAGGTGAAGCTGGAGGTGGAGACGGTGATAAAAACAGGTCGACAGATTGTGCAGAAACAGCAGACGGAGAACCCCAAGGCCATGGACGAACAGCTCACTGCTCTCAAACTGCTCTACAATGACCTGGGGGCACAGGTAACTTATTTTTATATCATTCTCCTTGTTCTGACTGCAGCTCATGTTGGATTATACGTAATATTCAATATTTCTTAGATCAATTTAAGACACCTTTGTTTTCCTTCTCTTTACAGGTAACGGAGGGCAAGCAGGACCTGGAAAAGGCTTTGTCACTGTCTCAAAAGTTCCAAAAGGAGAGTGCCGCCCTGGAGGAGTGGCTGACCACCAATGAGGCCCAGCTCCAGCAGAAGAACAGCTGTGGAGACATGCCAGCTGACATTGATGCGGAGATCGCATGGGCTAATGTGAGTAACAGTCCAAACATTTCATCAAATCCCTTCAGCAGGAGCAAAGAAGTGTTTCTGCTTCTGGCCAGTAGGTGGAGCATAGGGACAGTAAGATGTTCCTGAAAATGCAAATCTCTCTCTATTTAGCGCCGGAGATAAAGAAAGAGGACGACTGTGGGGCTGTTGAGAGTGCTTCTGTGTTAAAAAGCGTTCATCCCCCCTTTCCTCTCTCTGAGATCCCAATTCAGTGAACAGGACGACAGTTTTAGTGAAGAAGTGGAGCAGTATGCATTTTAAATGAGTCACCGGTTCACAGTACAGTACATGAAAATGTGTAAAAAGATTCTTCAAATTGAATTTTTTGTTCTCCAGATGCACTTGTCTTCAGCATAAACACACGTTTTCAACTTTTAAAATATAAATGCGGTTGAAAATATGAATATTGACCTGATTCCTGCCTTATTTTTGGTGTGCATTACAGTGTCTGTCTTTGCTGTACAATAACTCCGAACAAGAGCTGGCTGATAAGACAATCATTTATTGAAACATGGAGGTCATCACATAATCACTGTATATTGAACTGTATGCGTGTGTCCCTCCTTCAGGGCCTGCTGAAGGAGTCGGAGTGTCGTAAGGCGGAGCTGTCCAGCTTGACAGAGACCAGTGCTGGTCTGCAGACTCTGGTGGAGGGCAGTGAGGCTCTGTTGGAGGACAAACTCTGTGGCCTCAATGAAGCCTGGGGCCGTGTCCGCACCTGGACCGAGGACTGGCTTAGTGCTGTGCTGGTGAGTGCAAATATTTGATACAGCAAGGCTTAATAAATAATGCTGTGTTCTTTATTTTATGTTCTCTGAGTAAGTCGAAACTCCCACCTGCTTTTTTTTAATAGTTTTATGCTTAAACAATATTTTTATTTGCCATCATTTGCAAATGAACAAAGGCTACTCTTGGGAGAATAAATGTATTTTTTATTTCTTAGCTTATCTAAGACTTTTAGCATGACATTTTTGTGGGTAACGAGAATTCTTCCATCAATTATGACTGCACGTATAATACATAGCCAATGTGCTAGAATAATTAAAGTTTTCGTTTTGAAGTTTATTCAATTTTAAAGTAGTTTTTTTCCAACCTTGGAAGATAAATAAAGACATTACAAGGTTATTTATTTACGACCCAAATAAACGATTCCTCATTATGCTTTCTAAGCCGAGTGAAGAAATATACTAAATAAACAAAACAAGACATGCAAATATTCTCTTCAGTAATAAATATATATATATATATATATATATATATATATATACTATTTGAAGTGCAAATCATTAAAAGGTATTGGAACCCTCAGAGAATCTTTCAAATGTCTTTGTTTTAGATGAAGTAGTAAATGGTGAAAACACAGAGAGACCTTTAGCAGTAATTCATGTTCTCATTGTGTATGATTGAATGGAAACATTGAGCCCTTGTTTTATATTGTATGGGAGCAGAGTCACCAGAATGAAGTGGAAATCTTTGACGAGAACTTGGCTCATATCAGCACCTGGCTCTACCAGACCCAGATCCACCTGGACGAGACTGAGCGGCTCGCCCCGACAGAGAGAGAGAAGGTGGTAACGGTAAGACGGGAAGTTTTCACATTGTGAGAGAGAAGCATCACGATCAATAAAGGGAGAATGACCCTAAAGTCAGGATACAGCACACCCGGTACATAGGAGATAGTTACCAGCCTCTCCTTTTCCATATTATCATTGCAAAGTTATTAGATTATACGTCTGAAAATATGTAAGAATTGGCAGAGCTTATACTTTGACAAGCAGTATCTAACGGTAGTTTAGAATTGCTTTATGTAAATTACACTTTCTCTGGCAAGGAAATGCATTCTACAAGAATCCATCAAGAAAATCCCCTCCTGTTACCTTGTGGTATGCAGAGGTTTTAAAGCGTTTCTTCATGAAAGGAGTATCAAGGATACGATCAATCATTTCTAAATTTACCATTTTGGATCGTCCACTGTTACAACAGAAATAGTTCTTAATAAAAATGGCCAACTTCACCAGATGGAATAAAAAAAAGAGAGTAAAAGCGAGTCTGTGCAAGAGAGGTTTGTTGAAGCATGGGAAAGAACACAGTGAGGAAGTGGAGGAAAGAGTCTTTCACCGTAGCTTCAAATAATTTATCTACCAGTTATATTAAATTCTTAATGCTTCCCTTCCTCTCGCCGTGTCATGAAGGTCTCCACTAAATATCAGCTGGTGCATGGCCCTGCTAACCTTCATCAGTACATGCTGTGCTGAGCTCTTTCTTCTGTACCGAGGCTACCCTGCCACCCGGTCTGAGAGAATGACTGATGGCATAAAGTGATTTTAGTCTGTGGTCTGTCCGCAGAGCATGCTGGAGGAGCTGGAGGACATCAGTCTGCGTGTGGACAATGTGAGGGACCAGGCCATCATCCTGATGACCAGCAGGGGGCCCGCCTGCCGCGATGTGGTGGAGCCAAAACTGGCTGATCTCAACTGCAACTTCGACAAAGTCTCCCAACACATCAAAACTGCCAAGGTACAAAAGCACTGTATGTTACCTAAAATCACTGCATAAAGCGAGCCAATATTGTGTAACGCATTCACTAACGAACATCACAGTGTGAAATGAAATCCTGCTAAACCGTAAAAAGGTTTACCCGTGCAATAGAAAGCATGTGGCATAGTCTGTACAGTCACTTCATCTGTTCCTTGTCTGTTTTACATTCAGATGATGACATGTCTGCAATCAGGTGGCGTTGAGTTGAACCAGCAGGTACCTCAGCAGGTACAGAGATTTCATCCAAACTATGTACATACAGCTGCCAAGCCTTTCGGAGAAAATACTGGAGTCGGTGTATGATCACAAATTATACCACAGCTGAACAAACAGAAGCATGCAGTCAGGTATTTTACTTGTTTTGACTTGAGGTCCGTTTCTTGTCATCAGGTCATTCACAGCCAGGGGATCCGAAAAGAGAGTCAGAGTCGGACTCGGGTCTCCAGTGAGGTGACGGACCTTCAGGCAGAGCTCCGGGACACGCTGAGGGCTCTGCAGCAGCAGCATGACCCAACAAACATCCTGGATGAAGACGAGGTAAACAAGGTCCCCTTTAAAGTTTGTCCTATTGTAGCATTCTTATTTTGTTTCCTAAAAATCTCAAAGAAACAGAACTTAGAATAATGATGATTCGTAATGATGGTCATATCATGAGATATGTACCCATACGCAAGGCACGAGCAGCCAAGTAGTAATTGCTTTGTTAAAATGTAGCCCCAAATGTAGTGTTGCTGATAGGGAAAAGGGCACTCTATCTGTTGTCTGGCCAATATTTGTTATTAAGGCTTGTCATCTCTAACAATTTCCCACAGACATTTGAAAACATGCACAGAAAATTATTATTCTCTTTCCGGAGTCCTATGGGATTTTCTATGAGGAACATGCCAGGCTACAGGCTATTTAAAGCTGCCACCTGATAAAACACGCTTTGATTGGGCATTTCAAGGACTAACAAGTCTGGAATGCACTCTGTGTTATCAAGGTTTATGACGTAAAACACACTGCCTGAACAGACCTGACCAGTCCAAAGCAAGGTCACTGTCCCAGTCGGGAAGCTCTTAGTGTGTTTTTAAACAGTATTTTCCCGGGAAGCGTCTGCATCGTCTGCTGATGAGCAAAGGAGCAACTAACAGCTGATGTCAGTTTCTGGTGTGTAGGTTGTTACTTATGGTAACTGAATCGATAGCTTTAAGATGTATTGGAGATTGCTGTAGTTTACTAAAAAGAATCTCTGCAATTAAGTTGGATTTGAATTGCTTGGACTCTTCATTTGACCTGTCTGTGTCTCTCTCTGCACCAGATGGATGAGGAGAAAGCCAGCGTGGAAGACTTGTTGAGAAGAGGAGACGAACTGCTCCAGCAAACATCAGACGAAGGCCAGAGGGAGGAGTTCAGGCTCCTACTGCTCCGGCTGCAGAGTCAATATTCTGCTCACAGGGTGAGATGCATATAAAATATGTTGTGTCTTCCTCAAACCAGGTTTATATGGGAATGTTTTTTTTTATCTAGGAAAATGTAGCTCTCTATCTTATTGTGTTTGCACTGTTGCGGTTTACTCACTGTGTGTGTGTGTGTGTGTGTGTGTGTGTGTGTGTGTGTTTGCCTGCTTTAGGAGTTGAGGGTGCTACGACTCAGGCAGGCCGAAGTATCTGTGGAGTCGTCTACTCGCATCTTCACAGAGCAGATAAGAGCCGAAGTGAGGGATTCACACGTGGATAAGCACATGGTCCGTACACTGACACTATCTAGGATGTTCCTTTAATGGCCGAGCTGTGTGTTGTGCTTGATTGTGTTGACCGTAGTGTGAGTTTAGCATACTGTGACATGCTGTGTTATCAGGTGGCACAATATGCGTTCATAGAGATATTGCTTCTCTCACTGCTCTGTGTTTTTCTCATCTTCGGTGTAGGAGATGTCTTCAGTGGAGCGTAGCAGCGCCCTCCCACTGAGGCCCTCCGACTACCTGTTGGACATCAACAAAGTGCTCCTTGCCATGGCCGACAACGAATTGCTTCTGAACTCCTCTGAGCTCAGCGGCGGGCTCTACGAAGACTTTTCCTGCCAGGAGGACACACTGAGGGTGGGTCATTGTAAATGTCACAAAAATGATCTGATATTGTATTGTTTTAGCTTTTGTTTAACAGTTTTCACAAAGTTAATCAATAAAATAGCAGAAAAGGGAAAGTTAATGGACATTTTGTAGTAGAAATAGAGGAAATGATTTACTTTAAAGCACTTGCTCTGCACCTTGTGGGGAAAGCTTTAGAAAACAAAGTGTTCTGGTATCAACCATTCTGATGTATGGGGACACTGTGCTGTCTCTTTTCCTTCATCTTGCATTTGTCTTATTGTAGAATATCAAAGAGAATCTAGAGCGTGTTGGTGAGCAGGTCGCAGGGATCCACGAGCGACAGCCCGATGCCATTCGGGATGCTTCCCCTGCTGAGGTTGCCCAAATCGGAGACGGCCTCACACAGCTCAACGCCGAGTGGGACCGCATCAACCGCATGTACAACCACCGTATGGGGTGCGTGCGCCAACTTCACACACAAACCTGTACAACAGATCACACTGTACATACATGACTAGAAATAAGGTGGCGAATCAAACTTGAATACGTTTGCCACAGAAAATTGTGCGACTTGGGAGACGAGAACAAGCTGCGGTTTTCAAATGTGAATGTTCGTGTCAGGAAATGTGGTCAGAGCTGCAGGGACACTGAATGCCAGCTGTCCGCTAGTCGGGAGACAGCAGGAACAGATAAAGAGATAGACCAAGGCACACAATCAAGCTCGCTAGACACACACACTGACCTTGATGACTATCAACACAACTCCTTGGGCATAAACAATCTCATGCCTATTCACATTTTCACTCACTCATTCACTTACTGACACACACACACACACACACACACACTGGGTGACCTTGACTACCATCAACACAATACCTTTGGCGTAAACAGTCTTTATATGCTGAGTACAGAGTACTGTGCAAATGCTAGAATTAACTCGTAGGCTAATTCTGTGCACACACAAATGCGAAAGCACTCTGTCTGCAATCGCAATAACCTTTGGGCGTCATTAAAAATCAAAAGAATTGAGTGTATTTTGTAAAATTGCTCATCCAAAACTGATTTCCTCACCTTGTCTCTCATCAGATTTGTTATGCTCCAAGCGGTGCTGTAAGAGGAAATAGCCCTCATGCAGACCGTCAATGAGATAAAGATCTGTTTTTTTATATTAGGCGTTTTAAGTAATCTGTCCATCTATGCTGATTTATTCAATAGTATCTCTGTGAACGTTCCTGTGCTGTCAGGGGTTCCTGATTGTTATGACATTTGTTGGTGTTTAATAGAGGTCAACTTGTTCCATTTTTCCTCATCATAAACCGAGGAACTAAAGAAAATACTTTGTTTGATTGCTCCTAAATAACAAATTACAATCAAAGCCTGAGTTGCTAAAATGATCTGAGCTTTAAGTTTAAGAAGTAGAATGAAAAAAAACCAACCTTAAGCAGATTATGCTGATTATCAATGTGAATTTAACTTCCAGTGTGGATATTTAGTCGAAAAGAAATGGGGTCCTATGCAAATGTTTCAAATGTCAACCAATGTTTGCAATATGTTTAGCATTTATTTGTTGAGATTTTCTTAAAGGGACAGTGTGTAGCATTCCGGGGTAATATTTAGAAATGGAATATGCTCTTAAAGCTATTAATGGTAAAGATAGTAAAGATGGCCTCTGAGCGAAGTAAAAGGCTCATCTTACCGCAATTTTGGTAAGGTGAGCGGAGAGGTATTCTGTTGGTTGCCATCTGCAACCACACACTAGATACCACCAAGTCTTACACACTAACCCTTTGTTCATCAGATTCCCTGTTACATATTTCCATTATAGATATACTGTATGTAACGGGTTTTAAGTTTACCTTACAAACATTCTTTACAACTTTTGAATGTAAATCATACTCAAAGACCTGGTGTGTGTGTTTCCTTGTTCTGCTGCAGGAGTTTTGACCGCGCTGTAGAGGAGTGGAGGCAGTTCCACTGTGACATGAATGACCTGAACCAGTGGCTGACTGATACAGAGACACTGCTGTCAGAGAGCGTTGGCCCTGATGGACAGCTAGACCTGAACTATGCCCGACAACACCAAGAGGTCAGTAGAGAGTGATGAAGCGCGTGAATGTCTGAATACGAGTTTTGTGCAAGTCTGTGTGTGACTGCCTGAATTTACATGTATACTGGTGTGTTTCACATGATTTTCACATTAGCATTTTGTCTCACCACCACAAAGACCTGCGTAAGTCTCACTAAGTGCAGAGTATTATATGTTCTTACATATTTTTTGTCATTATAGAAAACTTTCATGGTATTCCACCTTTGTCATTATAACACTAATAAGTCAAATATAGACTCAGAATATCCCATACAGTATGCTTACAAGCTTAAAGCAAGATTATTACCTTCCCAGGGTGCACTAGTAAAATGTTTGAAATATAAGCAGCCAGATGTTTGGAAATGTTAGACCAGAGATATTTGCATTCCTCTCGTGGGAAAATGGGTGCAATACTGTACCTGATAAACAAACACACTAGCACAGCTACTTGTTCGTTATGCAGAGCGAGACAGCGAGAGGAGAACTGAAAAGTAAGATGAGAAGGGGCCTCTAATTTAGCTTTGTTTGATTTGAAAGCGCTAATTTAATTTCCAAGGGTTAGACTGAGGTTCTCTGAAGCTTGCTGCATTATCGCTGACAGCGCTATCGCCATTAACACCTTTTATCGGTGTGATTTGCAAAGTCCGAGCTCCACTCCATCTGCTCTTTTACATGTTTTCACAGTCGCAGAGATTGATGCGAGGGATCAAGTGGATGGGAATTGAGAGATCAATTAGCTGACTCGCCCTTTAGCGGTCTTCACAATCGCTCACCCTGCTTCAGGGGTCTGTCTTGGCAAGTTAAATCTCTCTTGGTGGAAGTAGAGATTTAGCAGTTTAAATCTTGATGTGCCACAAATCATGCCTCTGTATCAATCAGAGATGTGCTTGGCGAGACGGACTTGAGCTGGGGGATTTGGACCTGAGTGAATCGGCTTATGCTGTTTGATTGATCCACGATTCAACCTTTTTTTGTGCTCATGCTCTCTTTCTTTCTTTTAAACGTGTTTTAGGAGCTGGAGGACGGTCTTGTCAGCCACCAGCCCGTCCTGGCTGAACTGACCCGCACTGGGGAGCAGATAATTGGGCAGCTGTCATCCCCTGACGGATCTCTGCTCGAGGAGAAGCTAGACAGCCTCGGTCAGCGCTGGAGAGCTGTCAACCGCCATGTCCTTGAGAGACAGCGCAGGTAATGTATACTTGGGAAAACACACAGGATGTTACTTCTCCTGTGGATCAAAAATATTAAGAGGATTTGGTCAAATGTGGATTTTGACACATATGATAAATATCATTGCTGTGTGTACAGTATAATGTAGCAAAGAGGTCCCTCTCCATCACCGACGGTCTTTGTTTCTTTATCAGCGTTTGGTAGGTTAACATTATCAGTGTGGCCAATCAGTCTATAACAGTAATTTAAATGGGCCTGCAACCTGCAGGAAATGGAGATCCTAATCTGAGTACATAATGTGGGTGTGTGTGTGTGTGTGTGTGTGTGTGTGTGTGTTTGTAGGATGACTGGAGGAGACCCGGCCCTGTCAGACCTGGTGAGGAGAGGCGAGGTGCTGGCTGTATGGTTGGAGCAGGCAGAAAACGCTGTCAGCTCCTTACCCGTTACTGCCACCGACAGCAACCTCAGAGAACTCAAGGTACAGCAAGGCCCAAACATGCTCGTGTTAGTGTGCAGGGTTTTTCTATTTCTGCTCCAGAGCTGAAAGATTCAGTTATTTTTATGGTCAGCTGACTGTTTTTTTCCCTTTTCTTCTTTTCCCCTCTGCCCTCATGTTGCTCTCCGTATCTCAATCACAAGCCAAACCTGTCAAACCCAGTAAACACATGGAAACCTAACTCACGTCTTTTGATTTTTACAACACAGTTCTGTTGAAGAAAATACAATCACTCTGTGTTTTCGGTCTTCATTCCTTCCTGACAACCACCTCAGTCAGACTTTTCCTCTGTGGACAGTGGAGACACATTGCAAAAAGTACAATAAAGATGTTATGTGGCTTTATGGAACAACTCTATGTTCTACTGCTGACATTCACAGAGTTACTTCTTGATTTCATTTTTCTTTTGAATTATTTCATCAACAAATCAGTCCGTCTTCATGGAATTAAGGGTCAGCGCTTTTTCCCTTGCAGGTCCTTGCCGAGGAAATGGATGCACAGAATGAACGTCTCGGATGGGTTAACAAGCATGCTCCTCAGATCCTGGCCAGTCCAAATGTGAGCCCTCAGAGCAGAGACCAGCATGTCGGCAAACTGAGAGCCATCAACCTCAACTGGAGCAAGGTGCAAACTTTTAATTAGTTTGTTATTCTGCCTCGTCTTCCAAGTTTTTGTATCGGGTGAAAGGTGAAGGCAACTTTATACTGTAAACATTGTAATACTGTAATGTTCACCGTGTTTTACAACATCGAGACGGCTGCAACACGTCCTGTCCTCCTTGTTTTCTTCATTTGCCCTTTGACATTCTCTCCTCCTAATTGTTTACTCATCTTCTTTCCTCTGCAGGTGACCCATGAGTTGTTGGACAAAGTCTCGGAGGTGGAGACCAACCTGCAAAGTCATGCCCAGTTCCAGGACAGGATGAGCAGGCTCACTAACTGGGTCGTCGTCACACACCAGACAATCATGACCAGGGGCTTGAGCCCCGGCCAAGCACAGGTAGATCGCCTGAATACAATACATCACAAGACACCCAACATCACTGCAAATCAGTTTTTTTTAATCACAAACATAAATGTTGTACCTAAAGGGAGTTCTTTCCTGTTGTAGTCTCTGGAGGCCTCCATGAAGGACAGGAAGAAGGACCTGGAAGACCTGCTGGCTCATTCTATAGAGCTACAGAGACAACAGCAGCTGCTGCCTCAGGAAAAGGTCCCAGTTTCCATAGCAATATGATTTAATAATGACGTACTGCTAATTGTTACATGTAATTATGCCATATTGCTTGTTAAAGTGCCTCAAATGTAATTGGCTGTCCTATTAAAAGCTGATGCACTCCTGTTTCCTGTTGCTGATAATTTGCTATTAATTATACATCCCCATCTCCGGATTCATGCTCATAGGGTAAGGTAGAGGAGCTGGCAGGGGATTGGAAAGCTCTGGATGGTCGACTGAGGGAATCTCTCCAGCCACCCGTCTCTCCATGGACACAGCACCAACATGTCGTCCAGCACCAGCAGCTTGGTAAAGATAACTAGGATTGCACTCGTGATTTCTCTCACTTCTGTATCTCTAGCTCTATTCTTTTATAAATCGTCAATAGTTAAGGGATGAAACAATGTAACTTCCCATTAAAGTATTGAGCCTTTAATGGGACAGAGGAAATGAGATATTGGATCATTAACAGGAGGCGACAAACATATAAACATGTACTCGTAATAAGTACTCAGGTGGCGGATTTGAAATTCATTCTAGGCTTGGCTTAATCTGGTGCATGAAAATGCAGAATAAAATAACAAATAAGAGGTGAGCAACAAAGTCCTGCTCGTGGAACACGAAACCAACCCTGGTGCCTCATTCATCATGATTTAGTGTGATGCCACAATCCCCTGAGAGCCATTGACGGCAGCACCTCCTCTCTCGCTCTAACATCTTAAATGTTCATTGCATCATTTCCTCGTAAAGAAGCTCTATATGTCAACATGACCTGCCTTTTTTCCCCCCCCGTCCCTGCTCCAGTGTCTGCTGTCCCCTCAGCCGTGCAGATGGCCAGCCTGGTTAGCGAGGACCCTCGCCACCAAACCCCGCACACACCGGACAGCGTGGCGCCCACCGACCTCAACGAGACAGCTACCGAACTGGCAAACTGGCTTCTCCTCATCACACAGATGCTGAAGTCTAATATCGTCACTGTGGGGGACACGGAGGAGATCAGGACGACGATGGGACGTCTTCAGGTGAGAAATGGGGAGCAGAGAGGACAGACTGAAAAAGGTTGACAGTGTGATTGTGTGATGAACATTCATTAATGGAATAGTACATGTTTTTTGTGAAAACTAAACTGTCCTATGAGCTGTACACTTTGTGTTAACAGTGTGTGCTTTTGTGCCTCGTCCTTGGCAGGTGACAAAGAGTGACCTGGAACAGCGTCACCCCCAGCTCGAGGACATTTTCACCCTGGCACAGAACATTAAGAACAAGACCTCTAATCTGGACGTTCGCACTTCCATTACTGAGAAACGTATGCAGAAAGCAGTTTAAAACACAAAGACAGCTTGTTTTTCTTTCATTACAATGTCTTGTTTTCTAGGTGGTAATGCTCATTACGTTCTGTTTTTGTGACTGCATCTGTCTCCGTCTAAAGTGGAGAAGGTCCGCAGCCAGTGGGACAGCACTCAGCATGGTGTCGAGGCACGGCTTCAGCAGCTGGATAACATGATTGGCCACAGCAACTACTGGGAGGAGCAGAGGCAGGAGGTCAACGCTCTAATTGGGCACAACGAAGGACGTTTCCACAACCTTCTTCAGCAGTCCAGCGACCCCCTGACTAAACAGCTTGCTGACAACAAGGTTAGGGAAAAGTTGAACTGCTAGACTTTCTCTCCATGTCCTCTGGGTGTCTGTCCTTCCGCTGGTCATTTGTTGTGAATCTATATCCGCGTCATTACGGTGGATTAGAAATGTACTCGAGGGGAATTTGTCTGCTCACTTTCCTAATTGAGAGAAAAATCGTATACGAAAACCAAACTTTACTTTAATATAAGTATTAGAGCTCCTTTAACGAACTGTATAAGTCTGTGCAAGGTGGGAATGAATAAATCACCTCTCTGCAGTATCACTTTGAACCCGAATAGCATCCGTACACCACATCATCCATCATTTTAATTTGAGATGATGACTTCTCCGAGAGTTTCTGGAAACAAATTCTGCCTCATGAGTGTGTCCGACGCATTACAAGAACCAAACACTAGAGGGCAACTGAGTTTAATAGAATCCGGCAGGTTGGACACACACAGCTATCTGCTCCTAGTTTGTGTGGTTTTGTGATGATGAGTAATTGTCCATTTAAAATGGTGAAGTGTACCTTTTTGTTAAAAGAACAGGAGGCTGGGGGTCAAATATGGATGACTTATTTGCTAATGCTAAATTTGAAATAATGATATGGCCTCATGAATAACAGTTGTGGTCTTATGTAACCTGCTTGATTAAGTAGAGGTTAGAATAACAATGTCAGATTGCTGAGCAGTGGAATGGCAAATGTCTTTGTGTTTCTAGTGCCTGAAGTTTAATTTGATTTTATAAAGTTTGTCGACTAGGTCATTCATAACTAAAGCTGATACCAGGCCAAAAGGGCTCTGCCAACAGGGCCCTTCACAGTGACACGGAACTGTTGAGTCACATTTGTCACATTTTCAGTCCCGGTGATCCTAATGCCACCGATTGTTTTATAGGCGTTCCTCCAAGACCTGGGCCGAGGCCAAGCTGCAGTTGTGGCCTTCAACGAGCTGTCCAATCATCTTTTGCGGGAGTATTCTATTGACGACACCAGGAGGATCAAAGAGGTCACAGATGAGCACAATACTGCCTGGAACAGCATCAACAACAGGTGCGCACACACACACACACACACACACCTGTTTACCTGTGCATGCAGTTTGATTGTGTCACATGCGGGGGCTGCTATTGCTGCCAGTACTTAATCATGCACTGCCTGCTACGGCAGTTAAACTCCTAAATCTTTCTACATGTGAAGTCACGTATTTGACTCATCGTTATTGATCGGCAGGGCAAGTGACCGCCACGCACATCTGGACAGTGAGCTGAAGGGCCTGCAGATGTCTCTCAGGGAGCTGGAGTCCTTCCTCAAATGGCTCCAGGAGGCAGAGACTACGGTCAACGTTCTGGCCGACGCCTCCCAGAGGGAAGACCTGTCGCAGGACTCCGCCCATGTGAAAGAGCTGAGGCGACAACTAGAGGTAGGGCTATAAACAGATAGAGAAACCTTCCGTGTGTGTGTGTGTGTGTGTGTGTGTGTGTGTGTGTGTGTGTGGAATCTATGCACAGGTGCTAGCCTATTATCTCAGTGTCATCCTCTATTAGCGCATCCTTCACCATTAGGTGTGTGCGTGTGCGTGTGCGTGTGTGTGTAAGTGGCGGGTTTAAGGTGTGTGAATGAGAGGGCATACAGAGGGCGTGTGAGTGCTTGTATGCATTGAGTGCTGCTCACTCATTGATCCTCTTGTCCTGTGCTGCTTAGGAATTCAGTGTGTGTGTGTGTGTGTGTGTGTGTGCTCGCGTTTATGTGTGTGTGTGCTAGCGCTCCCTCACACCAGCTTGTCATTTACCCAGACCTCCCTTCAGGGATCTGTTGACACACATCATCTTATGCTTTATGTAACGTTTTAATCCCCAAATCGCTCCACCTCACCCTTACAATGGATAAAACGGGTACTGATAGTCTCTGTTTTGAAATTCTGCCCCTGTCAGCCGCGACCTCATCTCTTTTGGATTGTACACTGAGGGGCTGTCATTTGCACAACCTCCTTTTCAGATGTTGGTGTATGTGTGTGTGTATCCAAGCTTCCTCTTGGTCTTCGGATAAACTCCTTGTCCCTGAGAAATTGCTGCAGTGTCGTACATCTTCTAGAGAGACCGAAAGCTTAAGGCCAATAACATTTTTTGGTTCCATTGTCTTGAATGGCACAGTTCTATCACTCCCGTTTCCAGGATCCAATTAGTTAAAAGCAGGCCAAGGTTATAGAAAAAAAATTACAATGAATCACTGCATGAATGGCCACAAAGATTTGTGAGGATTCATTAACTTGGTTTGGACGGGAGGCTGAGAGCCTTTTGCAGCTCATTGTTAAGCCCTGGCTGGATATAGTCTTATACAATTCTGACCATTGAAAAAAGGATATTATTATCACTTTCAACTGCCCGTTACAGGGATCTATATTTGTTGCGTCAAACATGATCCATCATTTTAAGCCCCACTGCCAAAGTTGTAAAAGGACACTTTCTTTATACTATTACATTTTATTCCTAAAAAGTCATCTCTAAGGTCAAGTGTGGGGTAAATATGGTTAAAGTAATCAAGCTGAAATGTAGATTACGCAACAGTCTGAGGCTAACGTCTCTAGAAATACTGGCACATTAACATATCAGATCTTATTGAGTTGATCATCGCATACCATTTTTTGTTTTTGTCTAAGTTGGAGTCATGATTTATGGATGCCACTCGTGTAGAAAGTGGAACAACAAAACCAGATTTGAGCCTCAGAGGATGTGTGTGGACACGGAGAGATGTCTCCACAACCCTTTTATTAACTCGCAGTGATTGCTCTGCCACCGATGAGTGTCGGCTTTCTTTAATCACAATATTTGGCCACAAGCCATTGTCATTCTGACTTCTTTTTAAATAACGCTATCTGTTTCCCTCTGCTCTCCACTCTTTATGCTAAGCTAACTGAACCACCTACTGGCTCTATAGCCACTACTTACTGTACACGAAAGAACATGAAAGTGCGATCAATCTTCTCTTCAACTCTCAGCAAGAAAAGCGAATACTTATGAATGGAAGTTACATTTTAGGAAATATATCTGTTTGCTTTTAGACTCTCGTAGATTGAATACTTAAAACACATTTTTAAGACGCTTCAAAGTGCTTCACTGTAATAATGTTTCACGATCTTGGCATCGGAGTTACAGGAGAGCATTATGGATAAAATCCTTTATTAATGTGTTGTACAATGTGGTATAGTTCATTAATGGGGGTGAGCACATTATGTGTAAATCCAATTTTGTCATAAAGCAGTCCTGCTCATTAATTTCCAACATTGTCTTTAATGGTGCATTACATCCGGAGTCATAGTTACCGCTGACTAATTTTATGTCATCTCGTAGTATATAATAAGATCATATCTCCTAACTGTTACTGGAGCCGGTATGTGTGGTATAGCTTATATAAGACCCCCCATCACAGCACACCTCTCATGTAGAGCGATGGGGGGTCGCAATGATGGCATCAGCAGAGAAGTGCAAAGGTGCACACAGCGGGAGGAGCTGCTTTTTTTAAAATCAAACTCAACTTCTGCATCTTTCGCTGTGGGCATCAGAAATGTACGTGTGTGTGTGTGTGTGTGTGTGTGTGTGTGTGTGTGTGTGTGTGTGTTGACCACAGCAATGTGAGCAGCAGAGACATACATGCCCCCCACCGACTTCTTAGCTGAGACCCGTGTCAGCGCCATTTAAAACTGAGCCCCCGAAGCAGAGTTGGTACTTTGTGGACCGATCGGAGTGGACGCTGTAGCCAGTTAAACCTTAACTAAACAGAGCACCTCAGTAAGCGCATCATGATCCCCTCTCCTAGTGACTCTGTGACTGTGACTGTGTGTGTGTGTGTGTGTGTGTGTGTATCTGTGCACAGGCCTCTCGGTAAATGATGATTACTCTAGCTGGCTGCGCAGGTAAGCCGCGTGGTTTAAAGGAATTTGTTTGTGTTCATTTGTCCTCCTCCGCCTCGGAGTCTCCCTTCATCTGTATGAAGAGACATGGCAAGCAAGGGACCGAGTGCTGTGATGCAACCCCGTAGTGCGCGTATGTGTGTCAGTTTGTGCTCATTTTAAATGCACGAGTCATAGTTACTGGCAGCTGTCGGTGTGTAGCATGCTGCCGTTGGGCAATACAGATGTTTTTTTTTATTTTTTATCCTCACTTCAAATAGATGCCCCTTGTCTTGTGGTTGGGAGAAAGAGAGGCTTTTTTTGTTTTTTCAGCAGCACTTCAAATGAAAGTCAAGAGAAGGAGTCCAGGACAACATGAACGGGTTTAAAATCCCCAGCGAGTGTGATACTGTGTGGTCAGTGGCTCTGCAGGAGCTGAGTGGCTGCTTTATGATAATCTCTGCTGATTGTTCACCTCTCTCTGTTTCTTCTCCTGCTTCGTCTCTTGATGTCATCTCTCCGGTGCTTCCAACGGATTTATTCTCGACAGATTAAACCGTTTTCTGCATCGATAAAAGTTGCTTAAAAGCCCCTTATCTTCTCTTGCCCTTGTCCTCCTACCTTCTCTTCCCGCTGCTCTATTTTCCTCCCACTTTCATCATTTATCTGCAGTTTTCCAGTAAGACCTCGCTCTTTTCCTCTGATAGTCTTTTGAAAGCTGCATATGGGCCACATAAACACAACACATAACAAACACATGTGCTCTCTCTCTCTCTGTCTCTCTTTCTCTCCCTCTCTCCCACACACACACACTGAAGTATTTTTTCGCTGCTGTGTTTTTCCTGTTTCAATAATCTTCAGTGTTTGTCAACATAGATAGTATTTTGGATTATTACATGATAGTGTAGATGTATGCTTTGGCCATCTGTTTTAAATACTTATATGAAAGTGCAAATAAAATTTGTGGGAAATAGTGTTTGATTAGGCTCATGGCTTTAAACACTATATGATACCAATGAGCGTCAGCTGGCAAATGGAGAAGAAGCTGATTAAAAATGCTTTGTTGTTGCAACTGGGAATTTGCTGAATTGCATTGACCCTTAATCTGAAAGTCCGGCATTCGTGGCACGCACATCAGAAATTTAAACTCTGTGATTGGACGTTTCCCAAATGCTCTCTAACTCTACACACAGGGACACAGGTTTGTAATTTTTTTACTTCTATCAAAGAAACAGATTTATTTTTTATTTTTTAGTTGCTCAGCTTTTGTCCTCATGATTCAACCAGGAGAGTTTCATGTCCATCCATGACTTGGATGTGCTCAGTCACTAACATTGCCAAGGCAGAAGATGAATGGGACATTTACTTCCAGGAACCCTGGACGGTAGAAATAACTCCTCCCTCTCCGTGACTCTATTGTGTGTGTGCATCTCATTTGTGCACCGAGTTCTCGCTCAGTCGCCCTCTCTCACTCTCTCGCTCTCTCTTTCTCTCTGCCTGTCTCCCGCTCATTGATCTGTTGGTTGCCTTGCGTATAATGTCATTCTACCTTCACGGCAGAGGCAGTGTTTGTCCTCCCTTACACTGCTGCTTTTGATCCGGCTCTCTCCCTTTTCTTCCTCCGCTCTCTCTCTCTCTCTCTCTCTCTCTCTCTCTCTCTCTCTCTCTCTCTCTCTCTCTCTCTCTCTTTCTGTGATCCAAAAGGAGTACTATGTCCCTCCTCCTCTCCATCTCTCGCCGGATCAGTGGCAGTAAAAAGTGAACCGCGCACGATCAGCTTCTCTTCTCGTCCAGTACAACTCGTGCCTTTCCTCTCTCCTCTCCACCTTTGCTCGCTGGCACTTTCCACTCTTGTCTCCCTCTTGATTTTATTCCCCCTCTCGTTCTTTTTCTTCTTCATTTCTTTTTTTTTTTTCTTCTTCGTCACCCTCCTCCGACTCTGCCGTCACAAGTGATTTGTTTGATTCTCTTCTGGCTCTGCAGTCGGGGGGTGCAAGTGTGAATGTCCGCGTGGAGGAGAAAGTGAGTGTCTCGTCTTGTCCTGCTCGCCGGCATCGTGTGTGTGTGTGTGTGTGTGTGTGTGAGAGTGACTATTTATAAAGAGAGAGAGAGATAACTGAGGCTGCACGCACTGTGTGTGTGTGTGTGTGTGTGTGTGTGTGTGTGTGTGTGTGTGTGTGTGTGTGTGTGTGTGTGTGTGTGTGTGTGTGTGTGACAAAACATGGGGGCATGCTGAGCTGAGTACGCTCGCAAGTGTGTGTGTGTGTTTTTTTTTCTCTCTCTCTGTGCATGTGTGTGTGTGTGTCTGTGTGTGCGCATCACATCAGCTTGGCTGGGGTCTGGTCGGCAGGCTAGGGAGAGGGAGAGGGAGAACAATATGAGCGGGGTAGGGCAGTGCTAGCATGCGGACCAGGAGCAGGCTGCTGCAGAGTTGTAGCAGTCTTAAGATGATGGCCATGGTCCGGACCTCCCTCCAGAAAGTGGTGGTCTTCCTACACAGGCTCCAGAGGATGGCCATCTCCTCGCCGCGCTAC